GTTGGCCAACATCAAGCACTGTTTAAAAACTGTACTATCAACTTATCTGTACGTGATTCACCTTAAAATATCAAACATGTTTAAAATAGGCATACTTCACCTTGTGAATATCTGGATCCTTGGTTTCAGTCTAAAGTACTATGAATCTTCTAGCATTGGACTGACTGTAAGATTCCTTTCCTGTAATAAAAATGAATCCTAAATTATTTCTATTATTTATCTTTTTGAAGTAAGCTGATAAATTGGATAAATCATTTGATTTTTTAAAAAAATATTATGACAGCCAACACAGTAGAAAATACTTGTTAAATTATCAAGGGGTCTTTGAGGATTGAAAGTTGCAGCCTTACACATGTTAACATATGAATAAACTTCATTAAATATACCCAAGTATGGAATTAAACATAAATTGATGCAAGAGTTAAAGACAAATATTGAACACAATTGAAAATATATTGATGGAATCTTTTTATCGACATTATAATTGTTTAGAAAACTCTTAATAAAAAGAAATAAAATCGTATCAGAATTTTTGGAATAAAATAATTTATCATTTATGCAATATGCTTCTTATTGTTTAACAAAATAAAAAAGGGTATTAATCACAAACAGTTACATTAGAATAATGTTATGGTTGAGACATAAATTATGGAGAACTAATTCCATTGCTAATTGCTATTGGAGCTTTAAATTAGCCCCGGTGGGGCAGTGGATTTCACGTCTCCTGTTCCAGGTGGTGATACCAACTTAACGCCTATCTCAAATGAATCTGCCATTGGGCAGGTATGTATGCTATTCTAAGCCAATAGTTTGAGAATGACATAGTCTGGCATTGAGGACTCTGATGGAGATCAGCATATGCCTTCGCCCAAGCAGGCCTTTTAGAAGGAGTAGGCAGAGGTTCCCTGCTTTCGTGGGTTTATGGCTCAACCTTGGCATTATTGTAACGTAGTTTTTTGTGTTTAATGTTTCTTAGACTTGGTTTTCCATTGCCAGCATGGAAGGAACCCTAATGCATGAGTTTCAGAGGAGAAAGTAGCAGTTCTGAACCTGCTGTGTGGCTCGATCAGCAAGCGTGAGTATTAACGCTAGAGCTGTCAGGCCTTGTGAAAATTAATGAAGCCTGACGGTTACCCAGTGAAAGGTCAGAGGCAGAACTTGCTCTTACATAACATTTGTATTTTGTTGTGTCTAACAACAGTTTGAACAAAGGAGAGCTTTTGTGCGTGAGCCTTAGATTTATCACAGGACTCCATAGGTCTTGGCCTTCTCTTTTCCTTGTGTTGTAGCTTGATGTTTTCCTTGCATAAAACCAAAGTATTTAGCTGTTTGCTTTTTATGCCCACCTTGATTGATTTTTCCCATGCTTCTCAACTGTCCTTCCAGTCTCTGTCCAACTCAGTTATCACTTTTAAACAGACAGCAGTTAAACTAGTAATGATGAAGTTTTGTTAATGAATTTTGAGAATGCCTGATGTTAGATCCTGTGTGTGTGTGTGCGTGTGTGTGTGTGTGTGTGTGTGTGAGAGAGAGAGAGAGAGAGAGAGAGAGAGAGAGATTTTAGGGTCATCATACTGTTGGATTGCATTTTTCAGCTTGAGATTATATGTATACTTGAATTACATTTGGCTAATATGGAGAATATATATCATCATTTCATTAAACCAGCAGTGCTTCAAAAGTGGTTCTTGCTTTTCCTTAGACTCCTTGGTTATATTTACCAAGAAGTCTATGAAAAGAAAGAAGCTTGAACAAACCATAGGAGTTGGATTAAAGAGAATAAATGTTCCATTCCAAGCAATCATTCTGACTTCTACATTGAGGGGATAGTACTGGAGGGAGCAATTAAAGCAGAGAAAGTAAGACCACTGAAATGAATGGGAAGGATGTTTAGTTCTTAATTCTTAGGCATGTCAAAACATCTGTTTGTGAAAGATTATCTTCCTGTTGCTTTTTTGCTTGATGTCTGGTCTTAACCAAGTTACTTCACCTTTTTGCTTTTTTCTCATCTCCAAATAATCAATCTTGCAAGGTTTTGGGAAATTTTCAGCCCAATATTCTCTATTATGCATTTATCTATACTTCTGTAGAAGTTGATTTTTCTACACAAATAGAAGCAACCTGGAATTTATTTGTGGAAAATCAAACAACATTGTGATTGAAAGTCTTTGGTGAACAGTACTCCATGATTAAACATATCATCCAACCAGAGTTTGTATTTAGTTCAGACTGAACTATTTTTTATAAAATTCTTAATAGAACTTTGTATAACATACTGCAAAGTTAAAAACATAGGCCAGTCCGTGGCAAAGTACAGTCTAAAAAGTAATTCTTTCTTCATCATGAAAAATAACAATGTTATTTGTATATCCTCAGTTATAGGTTATATTGCTTAGGATTCTTGGGTTTCAATTTAATTTTGTACACTAATTTTGTACACTGTGTTCTAATAATCATTTCACTTTTAGCCCACTTCTCACTTGTAGAGTTGCAGCTGACTGGGATCAATCTTTAATTGTGGTACTTGTTAAAATGACCCAAATTGAAAATAAGTTTATTATGGCCCTCTCTTAAATTGGATGCCAGTCCATAGTTTTCTTTTTAGTTTTCTTTTATAAGAATTTTCTAAGAGAAATGAAAAAAGAAATAATACTATAGTAACTGATATGAATACATGTATAAATAATACACAACACACAGACACATGTATGCATAGTGACACATCTCTGTGTATACATACACAGAGAAGCACACCTTGTACAAGCAGCAGAAATCAGGTAGATAATCAACAAATCTTAAATAACAAAAAATTAAAGTGTTATGTGGCTAATATATTCTAGTATATAAAGATTTTAAGGATTTCATACCCAATTTATAATCAAAGCATATTTCTATTAAACTATAGATATATTTGGTTAATACAAAATGAAAAAGAGAAGGAAAACTATAATAATAAACAGTATATTGAATAGTCAGTGATATATAAACCATATGTCAGATGAAAATGCAAACTCTAGTATCCAAATTTGGAATGTGGCCCAATTCCATGTATAGAATTGTAGTCCACAAATAGTTTCCAAATAAGATTGAATTATACATTAGATTTTCTTTTCAAATATGCAGTTATTCTAAGCATTGAAATATATTCCTCAGTTTAGTAAACCATTCTTCCATAGAGGGGAACGAAGATCTCATGTAATTAAAAAAAATATTCTTGAAACTGTTAATATATACTGTGCCACTTAGTATATATTGAATAAATATATAGTTGAGTGAAGTTTAATCAAAATATCTCAGGATAAAATGGAATGACCTCTTTCAAGATTTCTTCCATTTTGTAGGTGAATCATAGCGTTGTTGAGCTTCACAGTATTGCCATCACATATGGAAGAAGGATCCAATCCATTCAATGCATTTTTAACATTTTGTAGAGATGGAGTTACAGAATTTAGTAATCATGAATGGAATAGTGTACCAGCATTAAAACATAGCAAGATTTTCAAATTGCAAAATTTTGAAGTATAAAGTTGACTTTACTAAACTGATATGTTTGTGGAAGTGTTCCTAGCTAGTGTGAGTTCAGAAACCTGACATGTATGTTTTTAGTTTATGATGGATAGAATTTTAAGAAAATGAATGCAGTGTTCTTTATAATGTTACAAATGGCCATATGAGAGTGCAGTCATATGTACAGGCTACCTTTCCAAGATAAACAGATGAAACAATTCATCATTTTCATACCTTTACAGTGATAGCCTGAACCTAAGTGGCTATCCTGAAGTATGTATATATATTGTTACACATTGAAGTTTCTTCTCTAAGTGGTATTGATTTAAAAAAAACCAAAATTATTATTAGAAAAGTGTCCTAAGGGCTGACAAAAATGTATACCTATGCAATCCTCCTGTATCTTTGTCTCAGTAATGATGTACAGGATTATGGGCTATTTGAAATGTGCTCAAGAATGAGTCGGTGGATCCTTCTCTTGGTTTATTTGGATAATTAATCAAATTTAATGTATTATAAAGTGGTCCATTTTATTTCTTTTTTTAATATTAAAATTGTAGTCTGGAGAAAGCAGTAGCAGTGATTGTCGGCAGACCTTGCAAGCAAGGCAAACAAGATGAAGGGGTTCATGAAATTTCTGAAAACTTTCCCTTTTCCTCTGAAAAATTTTGATAATATAAACATTGTGATAGCAAATGTGAAGAAGATTGGAGAAAGTGAATAATTAAGAAAGAAAAATAGTTCATATGGTTAACATAGGAGTTAACATTACCATATTAATTAACCTGGCATAATGTATTGTTTTGATTGTCATAATGGTTGTGTGCCATCAGATTGATATATAATAGAAAGTGCTTACTTTCCTAATAAACTTCAGTTGAACCTCTTTCATTCTGATGTCCTTTAGATGTAGATTTCAAACTTTGGTCAGTTAGGAAATTGAAAAACCCAATACATCTGTAGGCACCAGATTGGAATAAACCATTAATGAGTACAGCAAGGACTGAGTGCAAGTCTGTGGCCTTTAAATGGAATGCTGGAGACATTGTTTCAAAGATGGTAGAACACCAGAACATAAACATGGTGGAATATTGACTATAGCCATAACAAAAACTACATTTGATTTTTAAAATTTTAAATTTAGAGCTTAATGTAATCAATTGTATATAATTAGCACTATTACACCCTATATATGTATTAATATTCCTGTTCTGCTAGGCATGTGAGTTTTGGAGGGACTTTTAGAATGTGCTTGTGATTCTGGAGTCGAAGTTGCATACTTCTGGATAAAAAGATGACCAGCCATATGAACTATTCCATAAATTCTTCTTTAATTCATCAAACCTCTAAATAATATTGATCAATATACCTTTCTTTCTTGTGATTTTCCTTGAACAAAACCTGTCCAGTATGAGTTTAAATGTGAAATCTATGTTTGTTTTGGGACAGCAGTTTCTCAAATAAATAATTGCTCTGTTTCTGTACCGTTTCAGGAAACTTGCCATATGATTACAAAATAGTGATTGCTGGGAATCATGAACTAACATTTGATAAGGAATTCATGGCAGACCTTGTAAAACAGGATTACTACCGCTTTCCTTCTGTATCCAAATTGAAACCAGAGGACTTTGACAATGTTCAGTCACTTTTGACAAACAGTATTTACTTGCAAGATTCTGAGGTAACAGTCAAAGGATTCCGAATATATGGCGCCCCTTGGTAAGTCTAACATTTGCCTTTATGTGCATATATATGTAATTAGTTCCATAATCTGTGAAGTTCTTATTTTAACACATTATGTAATTTCTTCTGAATAAGGGAAGTAATAGATACTCCATAACTCAAAATCTTGTATGTTTGTTAGAAACCCAAGGCTATGAGCAAATTCTGGAATAATCAGTTATTTTGGATAATAAATTTGAAATTCAAAATTCCTGATTTTATTTAATAGCTATACTCTAGAAGTCGTAACATATTTTTTGTGTGTATTTTCAAATGACGCAAAATAGTTTAATCATAGCATGCTAAAATGGGGTATATATTTTAAAAGAAATCACTGGGAGCTACAATAAAAAAATCCATAACTTTCTTATGTCAGAGAGCAGAGACTGAGTAAATGGATAAAACTGCACAAATAATATCCAATTAAGTTTGATGCTGTTCTCTTTACTTCAGTGTGTCAGTTTCATATGAAAACTAAACTGAACTCCTCTGATTAGTATGATCTATTCACTGTAAGGAAGAAAAAAAGTGTTCTTTGAAAGACACTTAATGATGGTTATTGTAAGCCTGCTTGTTTTCACAGCTATTTTGTTAGTAATCCGCTAATTAGATACTGCACATAGTTAAGCTCTCATATGTCCCCACCTATATCTCTACTAATCATGGCAGGGTTCCTCTTCATTTAACTCCTTGTGCATTTAGTAGGAAATGCTTAAGTTGAATGTTTACTACAAGGAATCATGACAAACTGCTATTTATTTCAAGTTATTTAAAACCTGCAATTACGTTTTCCTTCTTTGTGTTTGTATTATATTGTGAATTGAAGAAAGAAATTCTACTTTTTTATACTTCCAGCCTATTCAAAAAACAACAGAAGTGATACTGTATGTATGCATATATATGAATAATCACATACAAGTATGTTATGTATAGCCAGAAGCCAGGATGAAAGAGAGAGAGAATATTATATTTACATAATACTTGTTTAATGGTTTTGCGCCAAAATCTTTGTGCATGATTTGGAATTTAGATTGCCTTCCTGATTTCTTGCAAATAACCTAAATGTAATAGGTCCTTTAAAACATATTTTCCCATTCATGTCCATACTAGCTTTAACCACAAAAAAAGAATGCAAGAGAAGAAGTTACCTTACCTTAGAGATGAGCAATCTGGTCTTTTCCAGTTGGTTTGGACTTCAACTTCCATCAACTGCATGGCCAATTTTAAAGGATGATGGGAGTTAATATTCCCAAAGTTTGAAAAGTCCCTCCACTTCCATTTCTCCTTTAAGATATGTTACCAGAACAGGCTGGGAGTTCAACAAAGGGAAGATTCACTCCTGTCTTATGTATTACTTTTACTGTTAAAGATTTAATCCAATGGTAACTTTGTGAAAAAAAATGAAGTCAGAACTTTACGAAAGGTCCCCTCCCTCTTTTGTCTATTTTTCCTTTTAGTCAGCAGAAGCAGTTTAAACTTTTCATTTAAATGAGTGAGTTGTGTGTTGGGGAATTACCTCATATAAAAATAATAAACCTGAAAGTGTTGAAAATTATGCTGATAATGTTCTTTGTATGCAGTATGTGTACATCCAAAGTGAAATTACACAGTTATCTAGATTATATATTTATTATCATTTCAGAGAGTCTAGGGAAGATCTAGATTGGCAGCAATCACTTTTCATAGGCTTGTACACTGTTTTTATGGACATTAGTAATAGATCTACCTGCAGCCAATTAGTAATAGATCTACCTGTATCAGAACTAAGAGCTTTTGTGGTACTTTTTGTAAGAACCTTTAGGTGGTACTTACTCATCAACAGGGTAGACTCATGTAGAAAGCCGTGAGAAATGAATTTGTAATAATTGGAATTTGCCTCCAGAGATTGAACAACGTTTTATCTGAAATGTTACCGGGTTTCCTGCTTGAGCAGGGGGTTGGACTAGAAGACCTCTCTGTTAAATCCGTAGCTTCTAATTATAGGTAGTCCTCGACTTGTGACCGTTCAAAGTTACAACGGCACTGAAAAATGTGATTTATGACCCTTTTTCACACTTAACAACCATTGCAACATCTCCATGGTCAACATGATCAAAATTCAGATGCTTGGCAACTGGTTCATATTTATGACGGTTGCCATGTCCTGGGATCATGTGATCAGCTTTTGCGACCTGACAAGCAAAATCTATGTGGAAGCCAGATTCACTTAACAACCATGTTACTAACTTAACTGCAGTTATTCATTTAACAATTGTGGCAAGAAAAGTCATAAAATGGGGCAAAACTCACTTAACAAATGTTTGTTTCATTTAGCAACATAATTTTTGTTGCTCAGTTATGGTCATAACTCGATGACTATCTGTACTTACAACTCATCATCATAATCTATTGTACAGTAACTTCCATACATTTAGCTGCTGTTGGTAGTGAAAGCATTAAATGGGGTGTCAACAAGTGATAGGCCAGAAGTAAATTCCAATTAAATTTGTAACTTTATTTAAAATGTGAGTCAAGAACTTTTATTATTTCCACTCTAACATGGGCATTCTTCTTTGGGCCTCTATTTCTCCTTTCTCAGATTTTTATATGGTATAGTATAGCAATTAAAAAATGCATTCTTCGTCTTGTAGTCCTTAGATTTGTTAGGTTATAACTTTCAAGCTGGATTAAGGTTGAAGAGATCAAGTTGCAAACTTGTCATGCAGCTCATGTTGAACCAATTATTTATCTTTAAGCCCAGACTCCTTCACAGGAAGAAATAAACTCGCTGCATTTAATTCCTAAGTCAAGAAATGTAAGGGATATTCATCAAACTCAGTTATACACCATTACGTTGCAAAAAAGATTCAGCATAAAACCCAATATGAATACAAAATTATCTAAAGAAAGTGAGCAGAACAAACACATTCTCACATGACAAAATTCCACAGATGTGGAATCTTGTATCAAATTAATCTGTAATAATAAATATAACTAAAAATGCCAGCAGGAGGAGTTCAAGAATATTTATGTTCCATTCAGCCAGTGAGCAGAATCATGTTCCTGGTGAAAAACACAGGCATCTGCTACAATCTGTAACGGTAGATAAAAAAAATGTGAAAATATTCCTCTTGAGTCAAATCCCAATCTTCCAGCCTCGCAGAGAAATATTATTTGTAAGTATATAAACCTGTGGTTTGCATCATGTAATATCTTTCTTCATTTGCCTCCTTCCCCTTTCCACAGTTACCTGTGATTAAGTCTTGCATCCTTTGAAAGATGAATCTGTTGAGTGGAGCCATATCTCCAGTGGGAATCTTCAGAGTTAAGTAGAATAGGAATAGAAATGGAATCTGCCATATTGCAGGATTATATATTTTCTCTCTTTGGTTTCTCTGTTTTTCCCCTCTTTATGGCTTTCTGAGAGCTGTATGTGGAATTTTGACTGTAGATTCCCTCCCTGAATTTCCAGATGGATGACATTAGTTTCACCAGAAATGATGTTGGTGTTGCTGAAAGTACCTCTTTTTGTTCTACCATAAAAATAAAGAAACAGACTGAAACAAACTTCTGTGATTCTATGCATGGTGTTTTACAATGTGTACTATTTGGTATTATTTATACTATTTGGTACAAATACATTTGAGATTTTTTTAAAAAAATTAAATGCATAACACCCATCCTAACTGGAATGATGATTTAATTCACTTCAATACTTTTCCAAGACATTTAAAGATATCTTCATACCATTTTAGTTAATTAACAAAACACTGTAAACTAAGTGAGCAAAATGAAATGGTTCCATTTCACAGAAAGGTCTGCTTTGCAGCTAAGGATTTTTTAAAATTAATTCATTTATGTTTATTGTCATATAATCATTTTTTTAAAAAAAATGGACTCATTAGAGATGTCTTTATCACCATATAAAAAGGCTTTGGCATTGCATAGACCTTGAACTAATGAATTAGTTTTCATGGGCCACTTTTATGTGAGCCTAGAAAAAAGATGACTGGTCACATGGAAGTGGAAGAGAAGACCAGCTACTTTAATGAATATAAGAAAGCCTGTGCTCTTGTAAAATTAGGAAAAAAATGTGAATAGCCCTACTAAAAACTCTGACTTTGGTCATGTAGAAAATCCATTTTCAGCTAGTAGTTTTACATCAAGGAGAAGGCTCAATCTATCATTAATAGTCCCAATTCTTAAGAGCGTCAGATTCAAGTTTTTCATTGAATTGAAGAACTAACCGTAGTACATATATCTAGATCAGAGTTTCTCAACCTTTCCGACTTTGCGTACCAGCGGGGGGGGGTGGGGGAAGAGGAGGAGATGGTTCTGCATCAGCAGCAAGCGTGTCCGTATGTGTGCAGCTTCACTTGCACAAGTGGTGGGCATATACGCCTGCCACTTGTGCAAATGGAGCACTTGTGCGAGTGGGGATGTGTGTGCATGCTCACCCATCACTTATGCAACCCAGTTCTGAAAAGTTCAAGGCCTAGTAATGGGCCGTGGCTCAGGGATTGGGATCCCCTGATTTAGACAATGTAAATTATTTATTATTGTATTTATTAATCAAAAGTATACATTGCCCATCTCATTACCTAAGTGACTATGGCAGTTTACAAGTAGAAAAACCCCATAAAACCCTTAGAAAAATAGAGTTAAAAAGATGGAAGGAATGCCCTCAAATCACCAACTACCCCTGTGGTTGCATACCACTCTTGGATCTCCATGCTAATTGACAAAGCCAAGTCTTAATGCTCTCTTAGAAAGGGGCCAACTTCAAGATATTCCTTAGGGCAGGACTAATGGCAGAGAAGGACCTCTTCCTACACCCCACCAATCATAATTCTTTAGCCAACTTAATGTGTCCTTTCTGCTTGACTGGATATGTGTTTTAATCATTATTTATTATCAAGATCATCATTATCAACTTGAGATTCAGTTTGATGTAGTACGTATATGGCACCAGATTAGAATAACAGAATTGGAAGGGACGTTGGAGATCTTCTAGTCCA